GCTGTTGACATTTGAGATCTGGGTTTAGGTTCTTTGTATTTGAGTTTTGTGATTGATTGATATATTTGGTTTTTGTCTTTTCTTTTAAGATTTCTTAATGAGCTTTTAGGATTTGCTGATTATTTGTGTACTAAATGGATTTGTGAAATTTAAGCTGTGGTGCAAGTACTGATTGTCTCAATTAACAATTTATAGACAAATTATTTCTGTCTTTCAGGTGAAATATGGCATTGGAGGTTACGCAGGTTCTTCTGAATGCACAGTCAATAGATGCAGCTGTGAGGAAGCAGGCAGAAGACAGTTTAAGGCAATTCCAGGAGCAAAACCTTCCTATTTTCTTGCTGTCTCTCTCTGGTGAATTAGGAAATGAGGAAAAGCCAGTTGACAGTCGTAAATTGGCAGGTCTGATACTTAAGAATGCATTGGATGCCAAGGAACAACATAGAAAATTTGAGCTTATTCAGAGATGGTTATCCCTGGACAGCAATGTGAAGACCCAGATAAAGACTTGCTTGTTGAATACGCTGTCTTCAGCGATAGCTGATGCTAGGTCCACATCTTCTCAAGTCATTGCAAAGATTGCGGGCATTGAGTTGCCTCATAAGCAATGGTCTGAATTGATAGGTTCACTATTGTTGAATGTTCATCAACAATCATCACATGTCAAGCAAGCCACCTTGGAGACTCTTGGTTATTTATGTGAGGAAGTTTCTCCAGACGTGATAGATCAAGATCAAGTGAATAAGATATTGACTGCTGTTGTCCAGGGAATGAATGAATCTGAAGGAAACAATGATGTTCGACTTGCTGCTACTCGGTCACTGTACAATGCCCTTGGGTTTGCTCAAGCAAACTTTAGCAATGATATGGAGCGTGATTATATCATGAGAGTTGTTTGTGAGGCCACACTGTGCCCTGAAGTGAAAATACGCCAGGCAGCTTTTGAATGTTTAGTTTCAATTGCGTCAACATACTACGACAAGTTAGCTCGCTACATCCAGGATATTTTTGGCATTACCGCAAAGGCTGTTAGGGAAGATGAAGAACCTGTTGCTCTTCAGGCCATTGAATTCTGGAGTTCTATTTGTGATGAGGAGATAGATATCTTGGAAGAGTATGGGGATGATTTTACTGGGAATTCTGATACACCGTGCTTTTATTTTATCAAGCAGGCACTACCTGCGCTTGTGCCTGTGTTACTTGAGACACTTCTTAAGCAAGAAGAGGATCAGGATCAAGATGAAGGGGCTTGGAACATTGCCATGGCTGGGGGAACATGTCTTGGGCTAGTTGCACGGACGGTGGGAGATGATATCGTTCCGCTTGTGATGCCATTCATTGAAGAGAACATAACAAAATCAGATTGGAGGCAGAGGGAGGCAGCCACTTATGCTTTTGGTTCAATTTTGGAGGGGCCTGCTCCAGAAAAATTAATGCCCATTGTTAATGTGGCCTTATCGTTCATGCTGACTGCCTTGACTCAAGATCCAAATAACCATGTGAAAGATACGACAGCATGGACCCTTGGACGGATATTTGAATTCCTTCATGGCTCAAATATAGATACCCCCATTATTCATCAGGCAAACTGCCAACAGATCATTACAGTTTTGCTTCAGAGCATGAAGGATGTGCCAAATGTCGCAGAGAAAGCCTGTGGTGCCCTCTATTTTCTTGCTCAGGGTTATGAAGATGTTGGGCCGGCATCTCCTCTAACTCCATTTTTCCAGGAAATTGTTCAGTCCCTTTTGGCTGTTACTCACAGAGAAGATGCTGGGGAATCACGTTTGAGGACCGCTGCATATGAAACATTGAATGAAGTTGTGCGGTGCCAAACTGATGAAACAGCTCCAATGGTGTTGCAACTGGTTCCTGTAATTATGATGGAACTGCACAATACTCTTGAGGGGCAAAAACTTTCATCTGATGAAAGGGAGAGACAAGGGGAACTACAAGGCCTGCTTTGTGGGTGCTTACAAGTTCTTATTCAGAAGCTAGGATCATCAGAGCCTCATAAGTATGCCTTTATGCAGTATGCGGACCAAATAATGGGGCTTTTCCTAAGGGTATTTGCTTGCAGAAATGCCACTGTACATGAGGAAGCAATGCTGGCGATTGGAGCCCTTGCCTATTCAACAGGCCCAGATTTTGGGAAATACATGACCGAGTTCTATAAATATTTAGAGATGGGACTCCAGAATTTTGAGGAGTACCAAGTTTGTGCCGTCACTGTAGGTGTGGTAGGGGACATATGCAGGGCGTTGGAGGATAAGATTTTGCCGTACTGTGATGGAATTATGACTCAGCTGCTCAAGAATTTATCCAGTGATCAATTGCATCGTTCCGTTAAGCCCCCTATTTTCTCTTGCTTTGGTGATATAGCACTTGCTATAGGGGAGAACTTTGAGAAGTACTTGATGTATGCCATGCCCATGCTTCAAAGGGCAGCAGAGTTATCTGCACACACCGCAGGTATTGATGATGAAATGACCGAGTATACAAATTCTTTGAGAAATGGGATTTTGGAAGCATATTCAGGGATCTTCCAAGGTTTCAAGAGCTCTCCAAAAACTCAACTTTTGGTCCCCTACGCACCTCATATACTTCAATTCTTGGATAGCATTTACATCAGAAAAGACATGTAAGTTCTTTCTGAGCTCTCTCTCTCTCTCTCTTTCTCCCCGTGTGTGAATGTGTTTCCATAAAGTGGAATTGTTTGTTTGATGTTTTCATACTTGTTTTTCCTGCAGGGATGAAGTTGTTATGAAAACTGCCATTGGCGTCCTTGGAGATCTAGCGGACACACTGGGGAGCAACGCTGGTACTTTGATTCAGCAATCTGTCTCAAGCAAAGACTTTTTAAGTGAATGCTTGTCCTCCGATGACCATTTGATTAAAGAATCTGCTGAATGGGCAAAGTTGGCCATCAGCCGTGCCATTTCAATTTAGCCTTCTGCTGGTTGGCAAATTCTTTTTTCTTGTTTTTGTCACATTTGAAGTCCTTGCATGCATATGGGTGGGTGTGTTGAGTTGGGGTCCGAATTGCATCTTACAAGTCTTCACTCACAGGGCAACAGGAAGCTGTTCACTTCTAGTTGTCACTACTAACTCTTGCATCATCATGAAAGCATTGCTAACTCATGCATTAGCAGTATCAAGTTGGGTTCTAGTATGTCATGGTAGAAGTAGGAGGAGGGTGCGCCCATTAGCTCCCCCAGTTCGTATGGCGTGGCTGATTCAAATTGTATCTCTGACTTGAGATAGTGTCCAACCTAGTGGGGTATGGTTTTGGGTTGTGGAAATGGATCGAGTACAAGGAGTTGTGTGTTCACTCACTTGTTCTGCCCCTGCTTAGACTCCCTCGAGCATTTTTCTCTGAACTTCTACTCTAGCGATTCTAGTTATAAGGAGTTTTTACCCTTTTGTTTATTTTTTCTGCATCAGTCTTGTGAGTTTTCATGGTCTGGGTGCATTCTGGTCTTTCCTGTGAAATCCTCTTATAAATTACACCTCGTTTGGTTCAGTTGCATAGCACCATGAAGGGTCATCATCATATCCTATATTTGCATTTCATTTGGTCGCGTTTTGTAGCTCCACATACATGATGATCAATACGGTGAATTTCACGAAATCGTTACATCCCTCAGGTCATTTTTGAAGTACAGTCGTCCGAGTCTGCTTTTTCTTTATTTGTTTCTTTTTCCATCCGATATCTTGTTATTATTTTGGCAATGATGATATGTATTAGAAACATCACAAAAGTTGTGATGTTTGCGTTTTTGGATTCAGTTTTTGGGTTGTGTGGGACTTCTGCTCGCCTACCCGGTCGAAAGTTGAGTATTTTATGGACCTGTATATATTATTTGTACAAGGAAAGTTTTGATGATTGGAAATTTGAGGGTGCCAAAGATTATATTCCTTGTCAAGTTCTGTTACTATGGCTTTATTTGGATGCATTTTCAACATTTCCTCTCCTCTCACTCCTGAAGTTTTACTTCTAAAACAAGCCATTACATTGTTAGGTACTTGGTTGTTTATATTATTCGTTTCTTCCACTGACTCGTTGACTTGTTTCATCTTTTTCATAGTGTTTCTGTTCATGGCCATTATGATCATTAAATTATGTCATTTTAGGCACTTTCATTCTTTAGAAGGTATAGTAAGAATCGGATCTTCATAAAACAAATCTCTTCTAGTACCATTCTCTCTGGCCTGGCATGCAAGAACAATAGAAACTTACGTAATTTATCTTTAGTTTTGATACCCAAGATCAACATGAGAACCATCATGTAATGGAGTCAATTTTCTTTTAGTGGTTCTGGATCTTTCCCTTTGTAATTTATGATTCTTAGTTTCCAGTAGGAAGCCAACAGCTTATACTCGACTATGATTGGATGTACACATACTGATCTTGTCCCTCGATCTCTCACTTCATTTTGTTCTCATTTCGTTCTTCTTTTGTATCGTTGCTTGAATGAATACACTTGATTAACCCAACTTTTTGAAATGCGCACCCTCGGTCCTTTTCTTTTTTGGTTTGGACTCGTCGTCACGCATTTCAGTCGTGATGTCTTAAGCAGGTTCCTGAGCAATGTTCTTTTTTTGTTTTTGGTGGAAAATTATGCCCCATCGTACTGATTGGGACCCCTTTATCTATAAGCAATTCTTTAATAAACTTTAGATGGCCTTCAGATGATCATAGGCTCTGGTTTTGATGTATTTTATAATACTCATAATTTCTTAAAGCAAGAGGGCATCATCTGCCATCTAATTATAACTCATCATCTTTTTTATTCTTTGCTTTGATCTCTCTTAATCTGTTCTTATCTGTCTTAATCACTTTTATCCCTCTAATTCCATTTCTTATCTGTTTCAATCATGCAACCATGAAGCCTTCTGACATAAACTTCGGCTCATCATTGATATTTTACGTTCAAAAAATGCTCAAACATAACCACATAGCTCAAACTTCCCCCCAGTGAGGCCACAAGCATTAGATAGATGACTGTATCCATTGATTTAGGCTTTATTACAAAAGGAAGATATCCCATTTGATAAAGCTAATATACATTCTCCATCCATAACAAATATATTAGTAAAGACGGAAACTTGTTATTCTAAACATAACTTAATTACTTAAAGTATTTTCATTAGACGTGTTGAACTAAAGTAAAACTAAAAGATAGTGTTATTATTGAGTTCATAAGCCTGGGTGAGGCTATGTCAAGGCTTTCCATTGCCAGGCCTCTTGGGGTCGTGCCGGTTATTGGCTCTGGGGTCATCATAATCAATGTCAAGTGCCAGTTTTCTAGCCTTCAATTGGAAGCCATAAACCTTTCCAAATTTGAGGAAGAAAAGAAATCAAATCATTAAGTTAGTTTGAAAGGAACAGTTCGTCTACTACTTCCTCAAAGAAAGAGTCATTATAAAAGTCGCATGCATACAGAAATACTTAGCAGTACCTTGAAGATAGAGTTGTCAGCAATCTCGACGTCCACGAGTGGATCAACCATTCCTAAACGAAAAAGGAAATTATTAGCGTCATCACAGACACAATCAACTCGAATGAAAGACAAAAACAGAAGTAAAAAGTTACCCGAAGAGAACAACTCAACAACAAAGATCAAAAGGAGGAGAAGAAGAAAGGATTTGATGAGTTTTGAAGCCATTTTGGTTTGTTAATTCTGTAGAGATAGAGAGGTAATTTGTAGGAAGCAAAAGGTGAGTTAGGCTCTTATCCGTATATTCCAAGAGGAAATGGGACAGCAATTCACAACGCCATTTTCATGGTGCTTCCTCTCAATTGCTACACAATCGCATTAACTTTTGCCCAATCCCATTAAAGTCAACTCTTCCAACTCTTTGGGACTAAAGAGGAAGAAACTCGATCGTTTTGATTCAAATAGGTTACCTATTCAAAAATATATCGAGTATTAGACTACTAGGTTAGATAAGTTATTTTAGGACACGAGATTAAAAAAACACGATTTTGCTACTTGTGATGGATCAACTATACTGTATGTGATGTCCCATGTTGGTTGGAGAGGAGAACAAACCACCACTTATAAGGGTGTGGAAACCTTCTCCTAACAGACGCATTTTAAAGCCTTGAGGGGAAGCCCGAAAGGGAAAGTCCAAAGAAGACAATATCTACTAGCCATGGACCTGGGTCGTTACAAATGGTATCAGAGCCAGACACCGGACGATGTGCCAGCCTTCTCGCTCTTCCCCGAAGGGGGTAGACACGAAGCGCACTGGGCCCCAAAGGAGGGTGGATTTAGGGATGGTCCTACATCGATTGGATGAAGGGAGGGCCACTACTTATAAGAGTGTGGAACCCTTCCCCTAGTAGATGCGTTTTAAAGCCTTAAGGGGAAGCTTCCCAAAGAGGACAATATCTGCTAGCGGTGGGCCTGAGTCGTTACACTGTAATAATCACATTAAATAATTTCCTCGAATATTAACTTCTCTATATTGTTGTACTCGAGATAGTCATCATGGGTCCAACGGACGACTTTAAAAGTAATTCCACTTCACCACTCGTGCTTCGAAAAACACGATTTTAATACATGTGATGATAATTATGCATAAGAAGAAAAAAAAAACGAGTATTAAACCTACCGGCACACATCAACATAATTTATGCGTATTTCGATTCATGTTACGACATAACTTATTTATTAGAATATTAATTTGATTTAATATTATGGTTTGAACCAAATTTAAGTAAATAAGGTTTTATTAGTTAAGATGGGCTTGGGCTTTAATGACAGAAAAGCCCAAATACTTGTTACCGGTAACTCACCGGCTCAAATCAGCTTCACTCGGTCCACTTCGTCCTCTCCCTTCGCGTATTCTGCATCTGTCTGCTACCGTTGAAGCTAGCTTGTTTGGCCGCGAAACTCTCTACAATGGCGGCTTTCCTTCTTCTCTCGTCTCCTTCTTTCACCTACCACAGGTTTTTTCTTTTCCATTTCTTCATCCGTTTCTCAGGGAACATTTTGAAGCTTTATTCTTCTTTTTCAGAATTCGTATTCCTGAGGTTTTCTTTTTTTAACTGGTTCATTGTTTTTTGAATGATGTGAAATCTGACCTCTGAATAGCGTTGATGCTGTTATCGGTTATGTATTTTGATTCTACTAGTGAATTTGTTGAAATTGGAATGCTGTTGCTTGCACATCCATTAGTTTATACTTTTAATGTCATTTCTAGGTTGGTGGCAGCGAGTTCGAATGTTTCCTTATGACTCTTATGTTTTTGAGATGTGTAATGTGGAGGAAGTTTGTGGTTTCGCTGCTAATTTTTCGTGCATCAACTACATAGATAGTGAATTTGCTGCAAAATAGTAAAATTCTGTCTCTGTTGATATTGAGGAAATGAGAAAAGAGAGCTATTATATCATTATATGTTACCTATTCGAAGTTTGATTGTGGTGTAATTTGACAACACTTCGGATTACAGAGTTGCTAATGTCTTTTCTGCTGATTACATTTGTTTTTTAGTCGGTATATGCTTCGGCTACTGTAAAATAGTTGATGAAGATGCTCTGAGCAATTTTAGGAGATCAATTATTCTAATTCTTTTTCTTGAACATCTTAGGATGAGCGAAATCTGTCTTTGCATGCAGTCCTTGCAGCTGCAAAAGGGCATCACATGCTCCTCAGTTAGCCTTCAAAAACAGAAATGTAATATCAAGCTTTATGCGGTACCTGTTAGAGCCTTTTCTTGTCAATTTGCATCGACTGGTTCTGCTTCTAGTAGAGCTGATTTGGGCAGTCAGAGGAAACATATTGCTTCTGCCTTCACTGTTCCAAATGGATATCAGAGGTTAGGACCAAATTAGTAATTTCATTATTGTCTTTGAGAATGCTGTCAAGAGGTGTCTCTGTCGTTCAGATAAATTATTGAATGATTATTTTATAGTAGGCCTGGTCACATGCACTACCGTACTGATGGGACCAGCACGAGTGAATTTGAGGGTCAATTGGACGAATTATTCAACGAAGTCAGAATGCTGATTGTTAGCGGAAGGAAGAGTGATGCTGTTGAGCTACTTCAAGCAAATTATGAAGCTGTAAAAGAACAGATGGAATCAGGTGCTATTGGCATTGAACAAGCTGCTGTTCTTGACATCGTGGCTTTGGGGTATATAACTGTTGGAGACTTGAAGTTTGTTGCTTCTATACTGGATATAGTAACTTCTTTTTCCCTTATCATCTATACAATAGTTGATTTGAACAATTCAGTGCACCTCTGTTCTGTGCAACAAGGATTATACTCATATGACTTGGGATTTTTTTCTGTTTAGGTTATGATCTAGCCATAGTTACTTTCGGGGGACTTTCATGTGTAAAAATTCTAGTTCAAGTACCTATAAACTGGCATTTGTTGGTTGAGTCGTTTGGCCCATGTTGTATTGACTGTATGATAGCCGGTAAGGAGGCAAGGTCAGAGACCATGCTCATGTATAGGTGTGAGATCCTACATCGATCGGAGAGAGGAACGAGTGTCAGCGAGAACGCTGGGCCCCGAAGAGGGCGGATTGTGAGATCCCACATGGGTTGGAGAGGAGAACAAAGCATTCTTTACAAGTGTGTGGAAACCCCTCACTAGCAAACACGTTTTAAAAACCTTGAGGAGAAGTCCGAAAGAGAAAGTCTAAAGAGGACGATATCTGCTAGCAGTGGGCTTGGGTTGTGACAATAGGACTCAGCAATTCCTTTTCCTCTTGATGGCATTTTAATTCTGTTTCAAAAATTATATGAGCATGTCCGGGCCTTATTCTTGCTCAAAGCAAGTACACATGGTCATCTAGCAATGCGTTCACATTTTTTTAGCTGATTTTGGAGTAATAAAGAGGTAGCTTTTAATGTTTACCTCATTCTTACGCTCCAAAAGTATTCCATACTTATACAGCCAAAGTTTCAACTGGTCAATCCTCTGGACTCCCTTCAATTTTCTCCTGAGTAACATGATTCTCTTCTTGTTTCCTTCTTCTGATCAATTTTCATATATGCAGTTGAACAACATTGTTGACAGTCTGAAGGACAATGAACCTTTTCTGGATTCAGTGCTTCTGCATATGGGGAGCATGTACTCAACTTTAAAAAAGTTAGAGAAATCAATGTCTGCGTACAAGAGGGCTATTGACATCATAGAGAAGAAAAGTGGTACGGAAGATTTTGGGGACACATATTTATTCATCGAACTAATGCTTTAATGATTTTGCTCAAGTTCTCCTGTTTCAGTTTATTTTTCTGATCTAATACATCTATAACCTCCTTAATAGCTACAAAAGCAACCTTGGGGCCAGGTAGAGAGTACCCGTGCCTAAAAGCTACAAAAGCAAAACCTTCCAATTGTTAATAATGTCTCACCACCTTAAATAAGGTTCTCTTGATGATCTCATAAAGAAGAAAAATCAACTTTGGTGGACTTTATCATGTTTTTCACTAGTTTTTATATTCCTCTTTAAATCTTCTTACAATGAGTCCTTTGCAGGAAAAGACAGTAGCTTTCTCATCACTCCAATTTTAGGGATGGCAAAAGTTCTTGGTACCAGTGGAAAAACTACAAAAGCAGTAGAATCTTACCATCGTGCAATTTCAATTTTGGAATCAACCAGAGGCTTTGAGGACGAGGATTTGGTTATACCTTTATTTAGTCTGGGCAACCTTTTGCTCAAAGAAGGAAAAGGCAAGGATGCAGAAACTTGTTTTGCTAGGTACGATCTCTCGCCGTCTCTCTCGCTTTGCTTCGAACTATTCACTTACTTTTATGGTTCTATATAGGATTGTGAACATATACAAAAAGTTATATGGAGAGAAAGATGGAAAAGTTGGAATGGCTATGTATTCTCTGGCTAATGCGAAGTGTGCAAGAGGTAATTTTGTGTATACTTGTGTCATCTTTCGAACACCAGCAAGATTGTTCATTTGCTGAATGTTCTCCCACTTTTCCACAGGGGAAGCAGACGAAGCTATTACCTTGTATAGAAGAGCTTTGCAGATTATAAAGGATTCAAATTATATGGCTTTAGATGATAGCGAGATGGAGAAGATGAGGATTGATTTGGCAGAACTACTACATGCTGTAGGAAGGTAATGTCATTACTGATATTGGGATTTCTTCTTTTACTCCGCCCGGATGTTATTGCTCAGCTTTATGGTTCTGAAAACGTCTTCAAACATAATTATTTGAACCCAAATAACTGAAATAGAAGATAAAAATTGTAACCCCCAAGCCCACCACTAGTATATATTGTCCTCTTTTGGTTTTCCCATTCGGGCTTCTCCTTAAGGTTTTTAAAACACGTCTGCTAGGGAGAGGTTTTCACACCCTTATAAAAAATGTTTCGTTCGTCTTTTCAATCAATGTGGGATCTCAGAATCCACCCCCCATCAGAGCCAGTGTCCTCGCTTGCACTCGTTTCTCTCTCCAATCGACGTGAGATCTCACAATCCACCCCCTTCGGAACTTAACGTCCTCGCTGGCACACCGTCCGGTGTTTGACTCTGATACCATTTGTAACAGCCCAAGCCCACCACAAGCAAATATTGCCCTCTTTGGGTTTTCCCATTCAGGATCCCTTTTATTATAAAGAATGATTTGTTCCCCTCTCCAACCAATGTGGAATCTCACAATCTACTCCATTTCGAGTACTAGCATCC